AATGCTGACGATGCAGCCAGCAGCGGTGTGCATGATTGACATCTAGGGGTTGTATGCGAACATGTGTCAGCGACCGAAGACTCCGTCGCAACGCTTGTGCATGCTCCCTGTCGCTCGAACATGGAACGCGGACTACCATGAGTGAAGCAAACAGCCCGTTCAAACATCTTACTGGGTTCTGTCATTCATGTGTGAAGTAAGTATCATCTTTTGATCTGCATGGATAGCGGATAGTGCATTCTGATTTGTACTCTTGGGTTGTGGGGTGGGTACATGCCTGTACAAGCTTCTTAAGGATATAATGAACTTAGCATCGTTTCACGACTCAGAGGGAATGCAACTACTCTCGATTCTAACGAATTGGCTTTCTTTAGCACCAACAGCAGCCAACAACCCCAAACAGCAACAGCAGCAAAACGGAGCAGACAACAAGCAGCAGGCAGCCATGCAAGCAGCAAGCAGCAGCAACCAGAACCAGCAAGCAGCCAAGAGCATCCAGCAGCACCAAGCATGCAAGCAGCAAGCAGCAGCAACCAGCCAAGAGCCAGGCGCAGATAAGATGCCAGCAGCAGCAGCAGCAGCGACCAAGCAGCAGCAGCAGGTACCGAGGAGGAGAGGAGAAGGGCGGAGCTGAACCCCGCGAGGGGGGGGGGGTTCTAGTCCTGATATATCGCGTAGTAGCACTCAGGTCCTCAGCTCCCACCCTCCTTGCTAAAGCAAGACAGACTCCAGCTAGCTACAGCTAGCTTTCGTGATGACCAAATCATCCTCGCACGAACTGTGCATGGAAGAAATACACCAAAAACAACACCTCCTCCCCTCAACGACTCCCGCAGTTCACGGCGAGAACATCGGCCTCTGGAGCTTGGAGGAGGGAGGTGGCTTCTCCTGCCTTGGCATAGAAGTCCTGCGCCAGCGGAGGCACAATCACTATAGGACCTAGGATTCATCTCTAGGATGTTGTGGTAGCAAATATGGAGGATGTTGGCAGGGAGACATGATTTCTTAGCTGGAGTCTCAAGTGCTCCTTGGACGACATCGAGCAGAGCAAATTCAAGATGCCTCCCCATAGTTTGCAAAAATAGAGATATATATAAACAGTTCAAATAATTAGGTACGGTATATTACATTATGCGCATTATGCTTCGTTCGATATAGTTAACTTCTCCAAATTACCCTTCCTCCAACCTTTTCAACTTCCCAAGGAGCTTCGCGGCTTCAATGGGCACCTGGCAGCCCTGCGAGCCCTGACCCGTGACCGACGTGCTTTGACCCAAACCGATCGGTCCTTAAGGACATTGGTGGCCTGAGCTACCGCCGCCTGTGCTTCCTTCCTCAGGGCGGTCGCCGGGCGTCGGCGACCGCTGGCTGTGGCGAGCATGATGTCTGGAACGGTCCGCCCAGGTGGCGACCAATTAAGGCGAGCATGAGTCCGTTTGTACCAGTAGTCGTTTGGACGCCGTGCATGTAGAAAATATAGCCAAACTCATGGCTGATAAAGGTATTACACAAAATCACCAATCAATCGGTAATGCTTGTGCACAGGGGCCTTTCGAACTAGGCATTGACGCCCAGAAGCGGAAGGAGACCAAAAATCCAAAGACGTGGCTTCAGGTTCTCGTGCTCAGGTTCTTGCTCAATGAAAAATGCCCAGACATGCCGAGCTGCGCATCCTTCAAGGTGCCCTCATTCTTGGCCTTCTCCTTCTCTCGGATGGCCGTGGCTTCACTCATGGCGCTCTCCTGACGCACCATGAAGAAAAAACACCGGCAGCGGAAGGAGGAAGGAGGAACGGCAACGTGGGCCTTCAGCAGGGTTCGGGTCTCTTCTCTTCTCTGGAGTGTTCTCAGCAAAAAAAAAATGGAAGTGGACGGCCTGGCCCCTTGGAAAGACCATGTCTACAAACAGGTATAGTCGTTCATAGGTTTTCCACGTCCATGTTTGTTGGAGGGAATTTGAATGAAATTGAAATTCATGGGGTTCGGAAAACATGTTTTTTTGGTGGAACGATAAATAAGACACAAGTCCAGCTGCAAGGTAGTTCCTTGCTCATGCAAAGCAACGCCGTCCGTAATGTCTTCCATTCTTCAACCTCCACTTCAGGCTCTGGAATGAACACCAAGTTCCATAACTAAAGCATCCACTCAAACATCAAAAACCGGCCATCCATGGCCATCCCACATAAACCGTCTACATTTAAGACTTTGTTTGCCAGGCAAAAGTTGAGAACCCTTGATTTCATTGTTTTTTGATTTGAAAGTGATCTGGGAATGATTGCAAAAATTGCTTTACATAGTGGTTTTCGACCGACCCGGGTCTTCGCTCCAGCGAAGTGAGCTCTTTCTGCAACGTCGCCAACTCTTCCCCTCGGGCGGAAGACGGAGACACGGCCGATCTCGGGAGGACACACGAAAGACCGGAGCGACCGGTTTCAACCGGAACAGGGCGGGTTTCGCCGTTTGGTGGGAAAACTGCCCTATGACAAAGGACCGGGGCAGTGACAGTGACTTCCATTCTATCTATTGCGCTATACATATTTAGAATTGTTTAAACTGTCAAAGAGTTGTACTCAACAGTTTAGCAAATCTGTAGTCACATCGAGTCACGTCTTGGAATGCGAGATGTAGTGAACCTCGATTCAACTTTGAATTTGGTGTCCTTGGATCAAATCATATCTGACTCTGCTGTAACAAAATAAACTAAACACAATTGATCAGAGGTGACTCCAAGAAGCATGTTCCCCGCACCCCCTCGTCCAACTCCTGCCAGATCGGAGATCGGCTTCTGGACCAGTGGCCCAGCTTGGTGATGCTGGCAGTGACCTCGTCGATCTCGGACTGCAAACCCTCGGCCACATCCTCAGTGAACGAGGTCCGGACCTTCTGATCCGATCGGTCCCGGGACATTCCCGGACGGAAGCGTGTCAAGGCCATCCCATCCGTTCTTCACCGTTCCTCGTTGTGATCATCCAAGTAGAACGGACTGGGTATCTAACACCCTGTCATCCTTGCTTGGATCCTGGGTTACCAGCGATTCCAAACTGGGATACCATGGGTATCTAACACCCTGTAGGCCTCTAAATAAACAGGCGCCTCTTATGCCTTCAATAGGCCTTGCCGCTCGACGTCCCTCGCCGGACCATTCGGTACCTTCTCCGCCCGCGAGGACGGAAGATGTGGAACGCAGGGCGGCCAGGGTCATTGAACTGTTAGGATGTGCTTTAGGACTGATTGAACTGTTAGGACTCAGGACTGTTAGGTCTGTTAGGACTGTTAGGAATGCACTGCCTTCGTGCTTTGAAGATGGAATCAGTTGACCTCATTTGAAGAAGGGAAAGTCAAAAGAAGCAAATCGTCTACGGCACAGGCCAAAAATGCTTGATGCTTAACAAGTCTATAACGCTTATACTGACCTTTTGATGTAGTCTGTGGTCGGAAAGCTGATGTTCAACACACAATATACACTATAGACCTCCAAATTGTGCTGTCCCAAACATGTGAAACAACATATGTCCACTGTAGCATAGGTGGTGCGCATTGCCCTGGTGAGGCCCTACATACAAGAAACAACTAATTATGTGTTTCTGTTGCTGAAGGGTTTCAAGGCATGCCATTTCAGGTACCACAAAAGACCCCAACAAATTGCCTTGGCCGGCCAAGGCAGTGCCTCCGATCTGGGAGATCAAATCCGGGATCGGGTGGCCGTGGACGCCGCAAGAACTGGAGGGTGGTCATTGACGTCTTTTAAGAACACGAGACCTCATGAACTGCGGAGCAGGCTCTGCTTTCTCCTCTCGGATGGCTTTATTCTCCTTAAGCTCCGCATCGCACCAGCCCTAGTCGAGTCGCGTGCCGTTTCGAGACGTGGAGAGCACCAGCAGGGAGAACTGCGACAGAGTGAGGCATGAGACAAAGTGACATATCATGATCTATCTTAATGAACGCGTCTCATTGAACTGTGCAGGCTGTTTGTGGTGGCTGGTTGTGGTGTTCTCGGACAGTTGATGGCTCCCATGGCGGCCGTTGATGGCTCCCTTGCTTCTCTTCACTCTGTTTCCAAGCCTTCTTGGTCGCTTCTTGGTTGGCCTCGGGCACAAAGTCACTCGGGCTTCGGCTAGCTGAACATTCAATGAGAGACACCCCGCACCAGTGAGCCTTGATCCATCCCCCGACGAAACAGGTGGCTTAAGAATTGGGACCCTACATGGGCCTCCTACCAAAAAAAGAACTGCTTCCCTCGTGGGCGAAGCGAAGAATATCCCTACTCAGCCTACCCTAAAGGCCTTCCACGCGTATCCATCACAAGGCCTTTTTTCCAAAGCCCTCTCTGAAAGAAGAAGGCACGGGCACACGACACAAAGGTCACAAACGACGGCCCGCCCGTCTCACGAAAAAGAGGTGAAGGACCAGTGCAGGGCCTGTTCTTCCATCTTCACCAGCAGCTGCTCAATCATCGCCTTCACCTGGTGCCGTGAAGCGACCGGGGCGTTCGGGTTCAGCGGGGGCGACCAACGGGGCGACCAGAAAAAGGGTCGACCTGACCGGTCCGTAGACGGTTGGAGAGACTTCTTAGCAGAATTCTCCTGTCATATCTAGCAAGAATGAGGTCATAGATGGATTATTAGGTTATATGTAAGTTATAACCAACAATAGATCTCACCTGCATTTGCGTTGAGGAGGCCATTTGGTAAACTTAGATGGTATTTCCAGGTGATGGATCAGGTGAGACGACCTGGACCTGGCTTCATCAAAGCAACTCCGTATACGACCTGGAAGCAGCTAAGCTGCTTCAGGAGATCCGATTCGTTTGGGTATCCACTTCATGTCTCCATAATCGGAGTATGTTCCATGACGTCCCCTTCCCAAACGGAAGGACTCTGGCGAAGGGGGGGTGGTCACTCCTCCAAACTTTGAGGTGGGGAAGCATCCCCTGAGCCGGAATCCTCTGTCTTCACCTGCGCAGGTAATATGCAGGTATACTGTGACTGTGGTAGACTATCGTTGAACTGTGGGACTCAAGTTGCTTCCTGCACAATACTTGCCCCCTGCCCAAAAGATCCCCAAACAATGTACATGAACACCCGAGATCAGGGCCCAGGGGGCCAAGCTGGGCCCCTTTTTGAGGTTGTATACCTATTTTTTCTCCAGAACCCACGGCCATACGAGGATCCCCCTCCTAGACCTCAACCCTCGGATCATCAACGATCCGATCAACTCTGTTTGGGCGTAGTCGGCACCTTCTTCCCGATCCCTTAAGTTCCGAAGCCGCCCATCGATCCTTTTCGAGGAACGCCCCGCGACATGCCGGTCACGCCTTGGACATGGGATCGGCACCGGCACGCGCCGCCATGGCGCTGAGCACCCTGCTGTTAAGTGCAGTGGCTCGTGCCTGGCGGCTCGCGGTTGGGATGTGTTTGGGATGTGTTTGCCTTCAAGTTTTATAGTTCAGTTAGTTGCAGGCCAAATGAATTTCTTCCGTTATAAATGACCAGAACTGGATAGATTTAGATTTGAAGGTTCTCAACAGAGTTGTATCGTTAGTTGTATTGGTTGTGTAACGTTCTGCGACACCAAAACACAAAAAAAAAACACCAAAACAGCGACACCAACCATAAACAGCTATAGCGATTCACTGCCCAATGAATCTAAAGGACTTGGTTTGTCTCCTCGGACCTGCGAGGACAATCTTTGAATCTCTGAATCGACACCCAGCATCACCCATCCACTTTCTACCAGCCAGCGAGGATCCAAAGAAAAAGAACAACTCGGATCCAACTCAACCTATCGGTATATCTTGGTATAGAACTGGCTCCCTGGGATTCCCTCAGGTGAAACACGGGCGACCAATGGGTGGCTTCAGGATCGCCAGCGGCGACCTCACCAGTGGGTCTTTTTCTCATTACGGGGCACTGTCACACTGGGCAAACGGACCCCACGGTTGCAAAGCCCAACTGTGACCCCAAGACCAAAACCTCCAAACCTGAACACTTTCTGAAATGAATTTTTGAACACCACGAAATGCCACGAAATCACCAAACCAGTGCAGCTGTGGCTTTTGTCCATATCCCGACCATATCCCGACCCCTACAAGTTACCCCACGAGTTAGGAGTGATGAGGGTACTTACCAAACCTGGACCTACTCCAAGACGATCACAGGCAACCGGCCACCGAAGAGTTGCATTCGGTCGATCGGTCGCCTGCAAGAACTTGGCCACACGCAGCTGCGTGGGCGACTCCGAACGGAGGAACGCCAGGGAAGTTCCCAGGAGAGATGGGAGATGCTTCCTGAGAGCGGAGGTGAGAGACTGTGATCTCATCAGGGTTTCTGGCACATGAGGGGGTTGGTGGGTGGTGTGAAACTTGTTTGGGGGGGTTAGTGAAAGATCAAATAGAACTACTACTTGAATCATCCTCTTTTTTCCCTGGTTTAGACACCTAACCGCACTCAATGACGTGGACGAATCACAGGCTCTTAGCAATTGACTGCTAAAAGCGCACAGCAAGAGATGTCAAGCCTCCAAGCCGAAAAACCCTCTGGGTGGACCCCCTAAGTAAGCATCATCCACTCCTGTGAGTGACGGTCAGACCCTTTTTGAGCAGCTGAACACGTGGAACATCCAGCACTGCCCACGTGGAACGCCCCCAAAACAGCTCCAGGCATATGTCTTGAAGGGCTTTGACTTTAGCCATATGCCATCCTCGCATGTATGATGGATTGCATGTCACCCTTCTTACCGGCAAGTGTAATTCTCACCATCAATGTCGGCTGAAAGAAGGCATGAAATCATTGGTAGCCACCGAACCCTGTTTCTTGGTGTTCCCCTCTCTCTCTCTCTCAATCTCTCTCTCTCTCTCCCTCCCTCCCTGCGTCTCCCTCCCTCCCTCCCTCTCCCTCCCTCCCTCTCTCCCTCCGCTGTTATCCAACTACTCTATCTCCCATCTACCGGAATTTGATGATTGACAAGCTTCAGGTGTCTCTTTTGGGTGCTCTCAATGGTTTTTAGGCCAGTGGATCCTGCTGACAAGCATCCCCTACTATAGCTCTACCAAGTAGCTTCTGTATGTTATTGTCACATCTCGCAACCAACCATGACCATATTTCAAATCAAATCCCCCAATGAAAGGATGCACCCACAGGGAAGCAACCATTTTAGCGCTGGGACTTCCTTCCCTCTGGCCAAGCGTCTTGGCGTGGCCGGCCACTGCGCCCCCCGCGAGGATCTCCTGCGCCTTGCCCAAAGCCTGACAGCGGGGGCCCGCGACCTGGTAACTGGTCTAAGGAAGGTTGGACTGATGTGATGTACAATGTATGACGACGACGGGGGTATGCATCAAGATCGTGTTTGGGGATAGTCAACATGTTACAACTTGTATTGTGGCAGTCAATGGGTACAATGTATGATGTAACAGTGATTCTTGAGGGTCATGTGAGATTATATACCGTAGTCAGTGGGTGTTTCCATCGTGTAACTACAGCGTTACCGGCATTACACATCATGAAGACTTCATGGATTTCCAAAGGATGAGGACGCTTTTAGCAGCAAATATAATCAAATATACCCTAGAAGTCCAAAGACTATATTTTGACCGGCTGAAGTAAAGAAAGTTCCCTTTCAGGTCCCCTAAAGACCATTATATTGGCACATTCCCTCCATTTCCTCCTCCCCCTCTCTGGTTTTCGGGGCTGCGCCGCCCGGTCCATCCAAAAGAAATCACTGGACCACCACCCGCCCAGTTTGGCCCCTTCACCCCCTTCTGCTCACCCCAGGACCGTTTTCGAGCGCGTGGGCACCGGGCACATGGTGCCCCTTTCCGAGCGCGAAAAGCGGTTTTTTCGGCTCCGCGAGGTGCTCTACGAGCGCCTCAATCTCTTCAGTCCGCAGGGCTTTCCGTTCGGCGAAGGCGGCGGACTTCTTCTCACAGGTGGCCTTTGGACCGGTTTGGTGCTTCACTGCTCGACGGGGACCCGGGGTTCTCTTCGCTCCTCCAGAACCCGGTGGGGTTTTCCCCGGTCATCCGGGCCGCATGCGGATGACGCCGATGCATCACGTCCATAGGCGTTCATGCCGAACGATTGGAAGGAAGCCCCCCTTTGCGACCCCCGTAAAGGTGGTGGTCGAAAGTGTGGTGTGTTTCTATAGAAGCAATATATTACATAAAGAGTTCGTGGTGGGATCCAGTTTACTGTTCTGTCATTTCCTCCAAAATCGCAGCAAAACAGGATCATTACGGATCATTGCCGACATCACTGGCAACATCTGGACCAGCAAAGCACCTTTGAGCATGGGTACAAGTGAAATACAACTCACTTTGGAGGTTGAGACCCCCCTGCTCATTTTCCACTAACGAGTCTGTAAAGGGTAGGTTATCTTGTAGGATCATGTCATACCTGATGTTCTTGTAGGTTGTCTTGGCGGGTGCAGGTCATAGCTGAGTCATAGCTTGTTCTTCCCCATCCCGATATGACAATCTCAGCCTTGAGATCCTTGGCGTACTTCTCATCTGACGCCTTCTCCGTGGTGGTCTCTGCCAAATCTCCCTCTGCCTAGGCCAGAGAGCCCGCCCATGCCGCGGTTGCGCAAGCTGCAAATAGACACCTCTGGGGCTTTGTAACCGCATGGATACAGCTAATTATGCTGACATAATGGTTACATGTATAGTGGTTTCAGATGGCACAATCCCCAAGTTAATGGCAACACCGGAATAATCACTCCCAACTTCAAGGAGACCACATCCCCTTAATAAAGGTGATGACCTGATAAGATTCTGTGTGAACCATGAGGCCTGTAGATGTTGATAGAGTTTAATAAGGGGAAAATGAAAGAACTTTGCTACAGTTTTTAGAGATTTTGTGGGCCGATGGATGCTGACCAAAAGAAGAACATTTAAGATATTATATAGCTTGATTAATTTATGGAGGTTACTTAAGCCTCGTGTGCGCATTAGGTGATCTATATGGACCCCCATCTCAAAGACCTCTTGGGGTGCCAGTGCCATCAAACCTCTGAAACTACTGTACATGTTGCTACTAGTAACAAGAAGCTAGTAGGTTGGAGGCCATCGCTATTAGGTTGGAGGCCATTACTAGTAGTAACAAGAAGCTATATAATTACTGGTAACAAGGCACCTTACTAGTATGCATGCATTACATGGACCTCTGGCCAGTTGGCTCCTGTTGAGTCCACGGTGGGGTTTCCCAGGCCATCTTCGAGATGCATCACACCTGGAGGCGTCACGGTGTCCTCCGTTGCTGGTGCCAGGTCTTTCATGTGATTCCTTCCACGATGAGCATTTGAACATGTCTGCTGCATGGATTCGGACATGATGACTATGGGCGATCGCCAGCCAATTGGAGACGGTCGCAAGAAACATGATACATGGTTTGGCCGCCACAACCCTTCCAATCCCCAAAACATCTACGGCACGTAGCTTCTTCCTCCAAGCCACAGATGCCTTCGTTTGCAAACGCTTGGCCCTGAACTGCGACTTGGACTCGATCTCCTTTTTGGACTGGGCGATGGCGGCTTCCAAGCTCGCCGCCAGCTTCTCATGGGCGTGTTTTTTGGCCTCGCTCGGGGTCGAGATCGAACTCGATGCGGAAGAAGAACCTGTTCTGTCGTGCTGTTCTGGTTGGGGGTCAGCAAAAAAGGTTGCAGCTCTCAAGTTCTGGTCAGTTGGTCTCTTGTTATTGAAAGTGAGCTCAAAGCCAACCTTCTTTTGATAGAAGGTTAATTACGTGCGACGATCAAAACTCATTATGTGTGGTGTGGTCATGGTATCGTTTTTTTCAGGGTTCCCATCGTCTCACGCAATGCGGAGCTTGTTTTGGCTAATTCCTGATGTATGTATCGAATCCTTTCTGGGAACTCCCTTCGTGTCAAATCATGAAGGATCGTTTTAAACAGGTGTTTACCTTTAGCCTGTTCACCGAATATCAACCGAACCGGGGGCTTTCCCCTTTAGTCCTGTCCCCGCGGGTCCTGACCACGGCTTGGACCAACCGGTCTCAGGGTCCGACCCGACTCGGTCCTCACCGGTCGACCTGACTCCACGTAACGATGGTCCACGACATCATCGGCTCTCCCCCCCCACAATGGCTTGACATAGGTAGTATATAGATGCTGGTGGACGTACCTATAAGATATTTTTTGGGGTTGAAGCTGTTATGACTATTCTGAATCCTCACAGGCATCGTACACTTAGTCTTTAGTCTATCATCGTTTCACTCAATGGTGTTTCAATGTTGTTCATGCTAAGATGATTCGATAAACATGGGAATATTTACATCTCCTCGACCAAACACGAGGGGAAACAATCACAGTTTGAGTGTGAATCCAAAACAACACCACCACAAACCACCATGCAGCCCACGCGGTCCGTGAACTGACCGTTAGCCCTGTTGAACTTCAGGAGAATCATTCGAAGCTCAGGTTCAAAGAATCTCTAGAGTTTTATAGGACTCCTGGAAAGAAACCCAAATCCTAGAAACGACTTAGTTGCAGTGCAGATTCCACGAAGTACTTGAAAAAAGTTCTAAATTCCAAAAAGATTCCACACACGCTTCCACACAAAGAAGACCATTTCTGGTGGATGAGTGGCCAACTCCTCCTTCTCGAGCGTGGAGCGCTCAGCCACGAACTTCTCATCCAAGTTCTCCAGCAGACTCACCACGCCGCCCGATTGGAACTCGTACATCTCGGGCTCCGAGCGGTGCGCCTGGAACCGGAGGATCGGTCGCACCGATGGGTAATAAAAAGGAGAGGGTGGGGTGAGGTGAGGAGGTGAGGAGAAGGAGAGGGGCACCAAATGGACAATATAGTATTTGTATATTGAATATTAGTATTGGGACCTTTTTTGGGGTGGGAGGCTTTGAGAAGTTTGGGATGTTGACCGAAAATGCAATTTGCTTGCATCAATGGCACACAGCAACTAGTACAACATTACATGCTATGTGCAGCGCCAGAGCCTGGGCTGTGGTTTTCATGAGCAGACTTGGCTTCTTCTCAGAAAGCGCCAAGTACTCATCAATGCTCTTGATGGCATCCAGCGGTAGCATCTTCTTCACCTTCCAGTGTTCCGGGGCAAACTCGCTCTTCCTCCAATGATTCTCGGTCTGGGCTGTGCAAACATGCAATTACCGACTTATAATTGCTGTAAAATGACTTGAATGGACTTACCTGAGCAAACGCCCACATGCCTGACACATCCAAATCCCCAAAAAGGGCAGCAAGCTCCAGTCAATCGGAGTAGTGATTATGGGGAGTAAATAAGTCCCAAAACCGCTCTCCGGGATGAGTTAACCTAAGTCTCAAGGTGAGTCGTCTCTTTTCGTAACTGTCAGCAAGGATTTGGGGTGCAAAATCCGATCAGCTGCCAAAACACCACCGAACACACCACCGTGGGTTACCACGAAAACCACTCGGTGAAAAACAGGTGAACCAAGCGTCAAGAGGACAAAAAAGCAACACCACAAAGTCTACTTCACGATCTGACAAACAAAACTAAGGCCGAAACATGCCGAAACTCGATCTCTGGTGGTGCCCCTTTGCAGTAGTAGTTACCAATTCAGTGAGGGAAACCACTTCAAGCGTACCATCTCCCAAGTGCTTCGTTTGTCCCGAGCATGTAGGACGGCTGCCCAAAAGCCGCATGGAATGCCATCCTCGCCTCATTGAGCTGCACCAACGAGGGCCCTGCAGCGGTCTCCTTGAGGACCTTCAACGCGCTTCCAATGGCGTTGATGGACTCCGTGTAGTCCTGGCATCTGACGCGCCTGCCATATAGGGGCTTCCCAACTCCCAACAGTCTCGTCGTTTTGGGACGGCACGTGGCCTGGCCATGCCTGGCCTTCTTTTCCGAACGACCATGTTCACTTGGCACGTCAACCCGTGCGGATGTCTCGGGACCTTGAGAGTCGCCAGGAAGTTGGCACGCGCTTTCTCCCGAATGCCGGTGGCGTTGGCCAGCCTTAGCCAAGAGGCCCAAAGCGGCCAAGCAGAGCTGACCGGTGCCACAAGGTGCGGTGGTTCAGAGAAACCGAGAGGATCTAGAAAAGCCAAAAGCAGTGGAACAAGGGAGCCGGAAAAAAATAGAAACAGAAAGAAACATCACGATATATCATGGGTATTCATCTTGATATATGATTGATATTCTGATGGAATATCTCATGATCTTACTACTTGGTTCACACCATGAATGCTCCTTCTGCTCCCAGATTTGGGGTGCTTTATGAGTCTTTATGCTGCTTCGATGTGGAGAACGGTTCAGCCCCTTAGTTCACATGGAGACATGGAAGAGTCTCCCATGTCAATGCAACATCATGCAACATCTACCCTTGTCCAGGACGGCCCTGAGACCTTCCAAAAAGGACACCTTACTTTGACAAACCCTTCAAAACTCTCCCCAAGCAGACTTGATCCATAGAAACACGTCCTCGAAGTCCACTTCCTTTGGTGATCTACATTCCCTAATGGTCCAAATACTTTCTCAGGTACGACATGCACCCTCAGAAGGTACTACATGACGAAGCTACTTCCGGATCACCAAACCGAAGCTACTTCCGGATCCCCAGCGCCCTAGGAATTGATCCATCAAAACAGGGCCCAGTATGTCGACTCTCCTTCGTGCCCCCTTGCGCCGCCCGTGACCCCGGTCGTCGCCGTGACGGCTCGTCTCATCTCAGCAGCTCGCCCGACTGCGTTTCCAGGTCGACCTGTTCGCGTGGTCCAGGGGGGGAAGCGTGGAGCGCCGATTCTCCCCTCCCAATCGCCCAGCGGTTGAAAGAAAGGCGCCAAGATCCACATTCAAAGCAGTCTGTAGACTCAACAAATGCATCCATTTCACTTATTCTGGTGCCAGAGTGTTTTCTGCGATGTTTTCAGAAACATCGCCTGATGCTGCGCCAGCTCCGTCTCCAGGCGTGTGGCATCGCTACCGGCCGCTTCCATATCCGCGGTCAGAAGCCTGACCGCGCAACCCGAGCGTTCAGCAAGCGTTCACCGAGCCGTCTACTGCATCGTGTTCGACACTTCAGCTTTTGAACTCTGACTCAATTTGTGTCATAAACTTGGTTTTAATGTTTTTCGTTTCACCTTTGAACTTCTTGAAGTTCCAAAAAGGGTGTTTTGACGTTCTGTATTCAATGTATTCATCGACCTTTGTTGCTGAGAAGGGCGGTACGAGGCTTGTTTGGTCGGATCTTGTTGTGCTCAACTGGGCATCAGTTTTGGCAATGGCACTGATCCCGAAAAAGGTGGACTCAAGGAAATATGCATTAAAACAATATTAACATGTAAAACATAATGCGGTGTCCTCTAATGTATTCTATTCTCTTTTCATTCATAGTGGGGCAAAACCATATTAGGCATTATAGGCCACCAGGCGACTATGGGTTCGGCTGTGGATCACTCGCCATGGATCCACCACCCACCCTAGTCGTGGCTGGATCAAGCCATTCGGCATCTGGATCAGTGGAGGAGAGCCCCAAAAAGGTGAACTGATGGAATCCAATTCTATAAACCTTTCGGCCGTTTGTTGGGAACCTGATCGGACTTTGCTGAAACGTCGAGTGGCACATGGGACAGTTTCGGCGGCGGACCCCCCCCAGGGTCGGTCGAAGGGGTCGGTGCATGCCCATCTGCGGTCGGTCGGGATGACCGGTAGAAGAAGACCCCCGGTGACACGCAGCGTGGTTTCATGGTGTTTAGAGCTTAGACCTCTACATCCATTCTGAAAGATTCCAATCTTGAGGCGGTTGACATGCAGCAACAGGTGTTCTTTCATCTCCCTTTCATAGGGACTGCCTGAAAAAGGTCAATTCTGACATCCCACAGTGACCACACACATCTCGCCGTGCTCACCCACATCTTCTGCGAGATGCTCGATCTTGTCTGCTGCTTCAGTGATGGACTTCCCCTTTTCCGTGAGTGTTGCATCACAGAACTCCTTGAATTTGGCATATTGCACCTCCTCCTGGTGAGGAGGGCGTTCGACTCGGAACGCGACTGTTTTAACGAAGGCTGATGAACGGGCTGTTTGGATCTCGGCGTTCTCTGTTTCGGTCAGTTGACGGTGACGGGAGCCGGAAGTCGGTTTTTATGCAAAGAAATGCTGAATTTATATTGCTTCTCATAGATGCTAATGAAGGCAAGCCATGCCAATGGGATTCAGTGAATGTCATCAACTTCTGCAGTTCAATAGCAACTCTTGGACACAATCATCTACTGTATTTTCCTTTTCCAGCCGCAAGCACCCTGTTCAAACGTCTTTGACAGAATCGGCAGCAACGGTGACGGAGAATTCAATCTGGTTCACCACCTCGCAGGCACCGTTGGTTGAAATCATACACAGTCACATGGTGCTCTGCTCCTCCTCCAAGGCCTTCTGACCTTTCTCCTTCATGTCTACAATCATCTGGATGACTTTCTGCACAGGCGTCACATCAAGCCTCAGACTGGTCGATCAGTGACATTGAACTGAATCCATTATCGAATAAATGCCTGAGATCTTGAATCCTGTCCGTTTGCTGAACTGGGTTTCATTGGTCCAATGTTTGTCCTTCCTGAAGGTAAGTGGCGGTTGCTTCATCCCTGTCTTTTGGCGCTGTCTGTTGGTTGGAAAAAGAAGACGAACGGTCCTTGAATTCTGGAAACCGAACGCCTTCTCTGATAATATACAAAAACACATAAAAACTCTTATACATGAGTTGGTGTCTTTTATGATTTGCTTGAGGTGTTTGCGTACACAGTTTTTGACATGTTGCCATTCCTCTTTTCGGGTATTGGATTTTGTCTTCACATCTACAACTTTTGAGAAGCTCAATGGTGGACTGTAGAAGTGACTGTAGAAGTGGATCTTGTGGTGGGAGCCATGTTTCGATCGAGATCTGTTCGAGATCTTGTTGAGGGTGCCCATATGTGCCGATCATGGTCTTCACCATGAGAGCAACAAACCACACCCGACGTTTTCGAAAGGCGGCCCAAAAAAACACGGCAACCCTTGCATGCTCCCACTCTAGATGAAGGGAACCCTGCCCATCAAGTTCCCATGTTGAATGTCAAGACCAAGGGATATCAGTTTAACACCAACACAGGGTCTGCATCAAACCCTCCAAAGACGATCATTTGTGACGATCATTTGCTCAGCTCATCTCACGTCCCGGACGCTTGGACTCCACATCCCGGACGCCCCGACGTCCGGGACGGTCCGGGACGCCCCGACACGAGCCGCGTCCCCCCACCCTTCGCGGCTCCGAAAGCTGGTGCTGAGAGGCGAGAGAGCTGTCCAAAGGGAGGTCCCCAAGATGAGACACCACAGGCGCTGCATTGTAACGGTCGACCGGGGACGGGGCCAAGTGGTCTAGAGTCTAGAGTCTATAGAGTCTACGACTGCCCTTGAGCCCGTCCTGGCACTGGTACGTCGGAAGATGATGCGGAGAAACTCTGGAAGAGGGGAGGGGAGAGGTTAGGAAGGGAGCACTAGGGTTTGGGGGGGCCTTAAGCAGTCTGGCGAGATATGTGCAAAACTGATCCAGCATTTTTGGGGTTTGAGTTGTGCAATTAAGGATCCTCTGCCCAACATGGACATGAGATACCTGGCCATGGCTCAAAAATACAATCCACACCCACACTTCAAAGCGAACATGGCTCAAAGCCTGTGGATTTCTGGCGGTTTTGCGGACATCTCTTCACAGGTTCTTGAGCTGTATGCAGCAAAACATGACCAGTGACATGGTCCAATGATGTCAAAAGCTTCTTTCAAACATCATGCAACTGGCAAGGCCAACAATCAAAAAAAGTTCATACAAAGACCCCCAAATAGATAGAAATGTGGATCCCCACTCAAAAGGTATTGGGTTTCCCCGTGCCATCCTCTCTATTTGGTGACCACTATAACATCGATTCCGCGACCTCTCATCCCAAATCGATTCCGCACCGGACAAAACGCTGCGCTCCGGTGACGGTCGACGGAGGTGAACGGAGGTCGGTGCTTTTTCGACGCGAGTCGAGCGGGCGGGCGTTTGGCGCTCGCGCCAGGCAAGCCGCGACTCTCGGCAACCCGCCTGATGGCGGATGGGCGTCTGACATTGGACGGAAGATAGAGATATAGGCTTAGCTTTAGATAGGCTGGACCTTGAGGGCCATCTCAGAATTGATGGCTTAGCCCAAAGAGGTTGTTTCATATCCATGTATTAGTGAAATACGCCGTATAATAGATGATGAATGTGAATATGGCTATGGCTTCAGTGCATCGTAGTGAAAGCAAAGGACTAGCTGTGGCTTCAGTGCACTCTTTGGTGGCAGCAAAGGATAGCATTTTATATATGTAGCAAGGATTTGTTTTCTATAGGGAAAAAAGGGGCTGCAAGGCATGTCCTGTATACTTATGCGACACCTCCAGCTGCTCCGACTCAAACGTCGACGCGGTGTTCTCACCCTATCGCAACGAGCGCAGCGACTCGCAAACAGTGGAGCGGAGCGTCTCCAATCGGTTGAAGTGTTGGAGCGCATTGAACAGCGCATCATGGTGCTGTGGCCACTGTTTTCAGACAAGCAAAGGGTTGGCGGGCCAGGCCCGCCCAAAGGCCCAAAACAAACAGTTCAACAATGGTATCGAATTTCAATCGATGTGTGTTTCAATGTGTGTTTCAATGATTTTTGGCCACACTCAAATTCAATTGTGCTTTGGAATGATTCCCTTCTATCGGGAAGAATCAATCAATACAAATCCCTGATGGAGGGGCACCATCTGGTTGAATCGGAGGAAGAAAGCAACCCACCAACAAATGAGCACTGACATGACACGCTCTTTTCCTGTCATCCGACGCACACAAGAGTGGACAGAGCCTCGAACAAACACTTCTCCCTGTCTCTGACAATGTAATTTGTTGGAAGCGAAAAACATGCGTCTAAGACGCTTGTGCTTGCCAACATTGTTCCAGCTCAACTGCACTTTTGTGCAAACAGCAGAGCAGGACAAATGTTTAAAAAAAGGGTGATTCGAGATTCAACACATGGCATCAAACAAACAATTAGAAAAAAAAAACACTGGATTTGATCCCCATATCTCCAGTGAAACCATGTGAGATCCCTCAAACCACCCCGGAGACGAAAGAAACCAACTTGTTTTCGGATGTATATTTGTTCTACAATTAAACAATTCCATTAGAAACTGACTTTCTGCAGGTCACCAACGCTACCATCCTCATTTTCCGAACGATCCTCCTCGAAGTTCTCCGCCTTCGCGACTGCGTCACTTCCGTGGTGCAAAAATTCCTGCACACCGCAGCGACCAAAGTTCCAAGTCCCAGGTCAGTGGTGTTTTTTAACCAAAAAAACAAGGACCACCATCGAGAAAGGGCATGGTGATGGAGTACCCCAGGTCATTGGTAGTATCATGGTCAAAAATGGGCATAGAGACATGTGTGATCAAAAGAAACATGATGGAGTTCTCCTGGGCGCTCTGAAGCATTGTCAGCCGTGTAAGCCGTTGATTGAAGCTTTGGAGGGCCACACGCATATGGAAGAGCTGCTGTTCACTGCTTGGACAAATCTCCATGGAAATCAAGGTGATGGAAGAAGTGATGATATTCAGGTCAGACGGATTCATCCGCATCAGTTGGCCCTCCAGAGTGGTCACTTCAATATCCATCCTAAGTCAACAGGATCGAAAAGGTACGCAGTCTGCAGAGGCCACGTTGCGATTAAACCTGTGAATGTGCCAAGCATCGGAAAAAAGACACACATGTTGCTTGATTGGATCCCAACAAGCGCCAGTAAGCTTAGCTGGGGGGAAGAGAGCTCTCTTGCGGCAAGAAACAAGTTCGAGAACGCAGCACAAACAAGTGCACAAAATACACAAGCACAAGAACACGCATAAATGAGAGTATCATATAAGGCACGCAAATGCGTGTAGGACCAAGGATCAGAACACACATATTTGAACACACATATGCTCGCATGTGTGTGTGTGTGTCCAACCCTGGAAAAAGGGTCTTCCAACACTTTTCCTCA